GCCGCCGTCCGGCGCCTCCAGCTCCCCCGGGCCGCGCGGTCCCAGCTCGGCCGGCCGGCGGGGCTCACTTCCACGTTGGCCAACGGCCGTGAGGTGAAAGGGGAGCGTCGGTGTGTGTCCGGGTTACGCAAGGGGGCGGCGCGAGGGGCGGGGCCGGAAGGCTCCTCCCTCGGGGCGGGCGGCCTTGGGGGCGGGGCGGCCGGCTTCGGGCTGCGGGAGGTGCTGGACCTGTGCTTGGGGTCGGGTTCTCAGATCACTCCTGGATGTGGAGAAGCTACTCTCCACGCAGGGAAGGATACTGAGTGCTTTGCGAAAATTTAAATTAAATCTCCTTTCGAACGACAGTGTATGGCTGAAATAAAGCCATAGTGATCGTCTGGACTTCCCGTCACTCTCACATTGTTGACGAATGGAGGAAAATACAAGACATTTTAAGTGAGATCTGTATGCTTTTTTTTGCCAGCTCTTGTGTAAACGGATCCTGTAGCTTTAAATCGCCTCTCCGCGCTCTTCAAGGCAGAGCGGGAGGTGGACGGTGACCGGAGGAATTTTACTTGGCTCTTTATTCTGTTGGCATCTCCTGTGGTGATCTAAATGTGTATACATTTATATCTGTATGTATTTATAGATTTCTCACGTTACCTCTACCTGCTAGAATAAACCATCCTCTATGCAGCTGAAAACCAGGCCTTGATCCTGGGTTTTCATAATGAAAAAACACTCCAGGCTTCTCTCACTTGCAAAGATACTTTACCCATACCTTCTTCCCAGAGGTTGAGCGGGAAGAGGAATTGCCTGAGAAAGTCCATTTGATAGGAAGGTTGTCCCAGGATGGTCAGTCAATCTGGGATATGTAATCTTTGAGTCAATATTAGCCCTCCAAATGTCCTTACAGAAGTATTAACAGAAATAACTACTTTCTACTATGCCACTGATCTTAGCAATAATAGTGAATACTTAATAAATTTTAATAAGTGTTATAAGTATTGATAAGTTTATCTTCCATCTTAAAAGTGAGTATTAAGGTGTGCAGTATCATTCTTAAATGTTAGAATATTTATATAAAATCAACTTAAAATGCAGCCTGTTTTACTGTTCATAGCCAAAAGTCATTGGTTTTAAGTGGGCTTTAATATTAACGACCTTAAAAATGCAAGTATGCAGAATGGATTCTGAACATCCATTGATAATCAAGTTATTAGAGGCAGCCTGACCTTAACCACTTCCTTAGAGTTCAGGGCATCTGTAGAATTTGCATATGGTTATACAGATACAATAAACAAAGACTATTGATTGCTTGGTTTTCCCTGCCAGCAATCTGTAACTAGTTTAAAAATAATCACACCGCAAAATCAAGTATAAATACAAATCAATGAAAGAACAGTCCCTGGAGTGTTAACAGCACCAGATCTTAAGGAACTGGGCACTGCCCTTGTCAGCTTTTGGGAAAAACTTTGAAATTAAGCAAAGCTCCTTTCAAAAGAAATCTGAAAGTGAGGGTCACAGAGGAATTATGGTTACCAAATTCAGGGATAAATATAAAGATCAGAGTTGAAATATAAAGGCTTAAGCTCAACAGAACCGCTTCAAACTGCACTATGAAATCAACAAAAGATATGAGTCAGGTAGTGGTTATGAAAATATTAAAAGCATCATCTGGCTGAGGTTTGTAAAATAAACTGAGTAATACTTTCCAAGGATATTGGAAAGGAACATCGGGCTATGTTCACTGTGGCACTATACAAAGCATCAGTGAGACACCGAGAGAGATACTAAAGGCTCTGGAGCATTTATACCTCAAGAAAGGGATTTAAGAATTGCGGGATAAGATGCAAAGGCATGTGAAAAGAACGAGAGTGAATTTAAAGAGCATAGTTCCAAGAGGTGCTCTAGTACACTAGAGGTGACAATTGATAATAGGTGATAGGTACTGATACAAGATAACAGGTAATTGTTAAGAGAAACTTTGTGACAAGAAGAAAACATTTATCAATTACATATGAGACAGTGATGTTGTCTTAGAACCTTCATAGGAATTAGATTAAAAGAAACTTGCTTTTTTCTTTTTTTAATTTTTTGTTTATTGCAGTAACATTGGTTTACAACATTGTAAAAGTTTCAGGTGTACATCACTACACCTCCACTTCTGCACAGATTACATCACGTTCACCAGCAAAACACCAACTACAACCCATCACCACACACATGTACCGAACCATCCCCTTCAGCCCCCTCCCCCCGGCAACCACCAATCCAATCTCTGTCCCTATGTGTTTGTTTATTGTTGTTATTATCTACTACTTAATGAAAGAATAAAAGAAACTTGCTTTTTCAGTAACAAGTTGTTAGAAGCTTCAAAAAATGCATCCATACTAATGAAAATTATATGAAAGTAAATGTAAAATAATAGGTTTGTGAAACTGGTCTTTCAAAAATAATTTTTTCTCTGGATGTTGAAGAAGATGAGGACTGCCTAATATTTCTTCTGTATAAATACAAGAATTGACATACAGTAGAAAGTTCTCTAACCACCTTCCACTTAACTGGCTTGCCAGACCCCGCTCCCCACCATCTGTGTGCTCACATCTCATAAGGTGAAGTTTTCTTGAGGCACCTGTCCCCTTTCACGCCTACTAGTAGAATTTATATACTTCCTAAGAGTTAGTTTTGTTTATTTCAACCCATTTTGTCATTGTGGTTATTATTATAAATGCATATAAATTAAATATTATGTAAGACAATCAAATATAAGTATGAATGTGAAGCTGAAAGCTTTGGATGACTTGATAAAGGTGAGTCACTAAAAACAAAAATTGCCATAAAATTAAGTATTGGAGCAAAAACTGTAGCTGATTGTGAAGAAAAAGAATCATAAAAGTTCAAACAGATGCTGAAATCAGATTGCTTGACGTTATTTTGTGTGTGTGTGGGGAAGATCAGCCCTGAGCTAACATCCATGCCAATCCTCCTCTTTTTGCTGAGGAAGACTGGCCCTGGGCTAACCTCTGTGCCCATCTTCCTCAGCGTTATATGGGACGCCGCCACAGCATGGCCTGACGAGCAGTGCATCGGTGTGCGCCCAGGATCCGAACTCCGGGCTGCCAGCAGCAGAGCACGCGCACTTAACTGCTATGCCATGGGGCAGCCCTTCCAGGGCCCCTCAGATTGCTTGACTTTAAAGAAACCAACCTGGTCGTCCGAGATAATGCATTACTCCTAGAGTTGAAACTGCAACTGATAAATATACTCCAAGAAAAGCCCTCGCCTTATATTAAAAGACAGACAAATGAATATATAGTTACATGTCTTAAGTGTTTAGGGTATCTAGTTTTTTCTATAATTCCCCACTTTTTTTGAGGAGGAGGAGGAGGATTGGCCCTGAGCTAACATCTGTGGCCAATCTTTCCCCTTTTTTTCTTTTTTCTCCCCAAAGCCCCAGTAGATAGTTGTATGTCATGGTTGTACCTCCTTCTAGTTGCTCTGTTTGGGACCCTACCTCAGCATCAAACGATGAGGGGTGCATAGGTCCACCCCCAGGATAGCCGCAGAAGCAGAGCGCTCGAACTTAACCACTATGCCACCAGGCCAGCCCCTAATTCCCCACTTTAATTGAATTTTCTCAATTAACTGACCCATTCCAGTCTTGACTACACCAGACAAAGGACTTCTCCTAAATGTCTGGGTGTTGCTACCTTCCTACAAATACCACCTTTCCTTAGGCTGTCCATTATGTGTGAAATAAATAATACCCATTTATGAAACATTATTAACATCTTAAATGATGAGGGTTTGTCTGAATAACTTCTGACCCCAAAAATTTACTTTTGAGAAACTGTGTGTGTGTGTGTATGTGTGTGTGTGTGATACATCTCTGCCAGTTAGTTTCCTTATATTTTTCTTTTTTCTTTTAACAGTGCACTTTAGGGGGACAATAAATTAAAGATTCAGGCTTGTTGGATCCTAGGTAAAAGTGTTTTTACTATGTTCCTGAGAAAGCAAAACAAAACAGTGAACTGATAGCATTTCTTCATGTTTAAAATATTAAACTTCCAAGAAGAGTATTATTTATATATTCTTCCCTTAAGTGATTCAATCCTATAGAAACAATAATTATGTTTTTTAATAGATCCAGTGATATGGTGTTTGGTTCTGCCATTAAAATTCTCTCTTGGGCAGATCACACAGTTCTTGGCACATGGCTTTTGTAAGTTAAGATTGTGGACAGTCTGTTTCTAATACCTGATCTATATCCATACTTAATATTGTTTTCCCCCAAGATTTAGAAATACTCAACTAAATGTGCAACTTTTTCAATTAATATAAAATACTTATGTTGGCATTATGACCTTCTACTGTGGCCCTGGTAGCAACAGTAATAGTGACTACTTATTAAATAGAGGCAATGTTGTGTGTATATGCGATAGAAAACGGGATATAGTTGCTGCCCTTTGAAATTATAGTCGCTCTAATCCATATGGACAACATGAAGTCAGGTAGGTATTTTACATATCTTTATATCCTCTGACCTAACTCGGATCCTTTGCATATATGAACTCAGGAAATATTTATGAAACTGGACTTTTAAAAACTAGTTTTAATGAAATTTTGCCTAACATGTAAAGGATTTTTTTAAATATTGAATTTAACAAATACGTTAAGGACTCAACATTCATTTTGTCTGTTTAAAACTTTTATTTCACAAGCGTACACATCAGCTGAAATAAGTATTTGCTTTGGAGCTGTTCGGATGTTAAATATTTGTTAATTTGTGTGTGTGTTCATTAAATCCAATGCTTGGCAGAGCATCAACTCAGTTAGTAATATAAATTACCCCACATTAAATTTTATTCTCT